GTATGATTTCTTGTCAGTAAACATGCATCTATCGCTAATCGGTTCAGATTTTTCTACTCTTGCTCAACTATTTTTTGCAACAGTATGTATTCATTGATACAATGTCAATTATTCAAAAAATCAGCATCCTTTTACTTTTTGATTATTGTCGTTTCGTTAACAACGCTCTTTGAGCGCGCAGAAGGTCTCAAGCATGCGTTTTTTAACAAAACGTTGTTTCGGTACTCTCTTGCAGTCTTGATGTCTGAGGAAAAGAGCAGCTGGCGTTTCCTTTCCAAAAAAAAAAGTTCCGTTGTAATAGCTGTTTGCCTTAGTAGGTCTCAACCTCAGGTGAAAGGGATCAGCCAGATGCCGGCCCTAAAGTGAAGGGGGTCAGAGAAATTTCTCCTCCTATCGCGTCTATGCCTCTATCCATACTGTAAATCAAAGTTGAACCTCGCTCTACGGAATGGTACCTCAAGCTCGGTAAAAGAAAAAGAGCTATTAACGATTAAACAGTGTGCACACCTTTTTGGGACACTCTGTATTCATTAGGGTGCAGTCTCTGATTTTTTTTACGCAATAGTTATCTAAAGAATTACGTTGTAAAGAGAGCATTACTTCATTTTTCTCAGCATCGCTCACATTTGCTCAGTTTCTCAGAGTTGATCTGCAGCTGGCTACGTCGTTGCTAATTTTAGTTAGTTTTGTATAACTAAAGGTTAACAAATATTAACCGAACATTGTTGGCATTGTATGGAAACCTTCGCGATTTGTTAGTTTGATTATGTCGCACTGAGAGGATGCTCCTGTGGAAGAAAAGAGCAGGAACCATCACTATAGTCGCTTAAGAACCCTCAGTAAACTTTGAAAATAAGATCTTCGGGTTCCCATTTACTGGGGACTTTCCAAAGACACATTTGCAGAACTTCACGAATCCAAGGGAATTTTCCGAGGTAATTTTCGGTAAATTATGGGTCAAAGCCTCAAGGAACTCGCGCGAGCTACCTAATACGCAAGACGAAGTACACGTTCGACAGAGCGTACTTGAACATCAGAGACTGATTGATCGGTGGGTGTGCTGCGAATGTCTTGTGATCGAGTGCCACGCGCAACTTGGTGCGCAGCACGCACCTTAAATTTGGGAATTGAAGGTTTATTATAAAAACGTAACTAACAACTACAGAGCCCATACGATGTTGAACAAAGACTATATGTTAAATATATTGATCCAAGTAGCCAATTGCACCAGTTATTTTTTCTCTTCTCTTTGTATAGTTGTTTAGTATATTAAGTTGTCCCAAGAGTCTTTTTATTTTTGAGTTTTCATTGTAATAAGTCATACAATCTCATTCTAAATAGCCTTCAGGATACCATTCCATACAGCAAAGCAAGCTGTATAAGATGGCGTTTATGCTTTTGCATTAGCTTCGATCCACTTCAAGTTCGAAACTAGATTCTAGAAAGTTTCGGATGATCAGAAAATTGAACATTTTTTATATTTTTGTTGAAAAAAGTCCTACGGACCTCTCACTTGCACACATATATACATTTCATCTCAGACATTCATATGTGCTGTTGCTGTATTTTTTATCAGCTAGAATTTAGGAAAACGAAAATTTTCATGTTTTTACCAAAATTATGCTGTGCTTTTCTTAAGCTAACAGTTGCATACTACGAGCCCTTAAATAAAACCATCTTTTTAGCTCTCTATGCTTTGGTTTCCAATAGATGTTGAGTTAAGCGTGAAAACCCCGAGTGAGAAAACCCAAATTCGATATCTTTCTGGGAACTAGAGCTTATAGAGAGTTAAAAATTTACGATTGTACTTCCAAAGGCTTGTAGTACACGACTGTTAGTGTAAAGACAGCGCAGCATCACTTTGGTGAAAGCATGTAGAAAAATTCGAAAAAGGTCTTAATGAAAGCCGGCCAAAATATAAAGACACCTGATTTTTTCAGCACTGTAATATTCCTTGACTCTAGAATTTTTTGTACTGTTACATACTAGATTGTAAACATTTGCAACTGCTTCTACCTGTCATCCTTTTCAAAGAGAAATGTTCATCGCATTTTTTTTGCTTTTAATTTTTTTTGGGATTCAATGTTTCTTGCGGCTCTAACCCGGGGTGGAGTACTTCTCTTCATAATTCTTCACCCCGCCCACTTCAATGTATTGGCTGGAGGCCGCCAGTGGAGAATTAGTGAAGAGAAGTCCCCACCGCCGGGCACATGCCGTGGGAGGCGTGAATCCCCCACATATTATATATCTTCTGAAAGCTCTTGAAGAGAAGAATTTAACCCATGAAGTCGCAACATGACTCATGCAGTTCTGAAGAAGTTATGAGCTGAAAAACGGTTTTTTACCTGCTTTTTTAAGAGCCTGGATCTCGGCGATATGTCAATGGATCGGTACAGCTAAGACATATTCTGATAGATCAAACTTCACCCTACGAGATTATGAAGTCGCAACATCACACACCTTCAAAGTCCGGATCTATAAGAGTTTAAATGTCAGTTGTCATTGAGCAACCTAAAATCGCGTGATTTTTCAAAATTCTTGTTCTCGGCGGCCACTCCTCAAATCAATCTGATTCTTTCAATATCTGGTAGAACAACACTTACTCTTTAAAATCGGTGAAGTCGCAATTGCTGACGTCTTCAACCAGCAGATTTATAACAATGGAATCATCGCATGATTTTTCATTATCTTATCATTCGAAATTCTGGTTCTCGGCGGTTACTGCCTGGATCGACTTACTTTCTTCGCAGTACGTCATAACAAAATGTACTTGATAAAACACGTAAAGTTTAGCTGAGTATCACTCACAAATACACTATTTCATTAACACGTTTATTTAAAATATTTATGCAGTTGTACTCATCGTATTTGTGGCCCTAAAGAGGGTGGCCCTAAAGAGAACCGTTGGGTTAGAGCTCTTCAGTTATCCATAGTCATCATGAAGCTTTGCTCTATCGTAGGAAGTGCTGAGGCGTATATATATGCGTCCATGCCGGTGATGGCCTCCAGGTGCTCGCAGTAGGCGACGGCGACTTATTAAAAATAAACTACATAGAATATGCTGCCAATGCTTTCTTTTGCGTTCGTTTTGCTTAATTTCCTTTTTTTCAGTTTCAGCAAAAAAAATCAAAACCCAAAAGTCCGAAAAAACCCAAAAAAAACCAAAAAACCCAAATGCAAAGTCCGTCCTGTGCTCCTCTCTCTACCCCCCCCCCCTCCCGCGGTCAACGTTTTTGAGAGGTGAGTGTCCGGCACTATCACCTTCACTTTTGGCCGGCCAGTGGTGGCTGGAACCACCTTCACTTTTGGGGAGCCCGGCTCCACCTATCGCATCTCTGCTCACAATGATCGAAGTTGGAGTTATTGTTTGCGCTTCTGTCCCATAAACTTATACCAATCCGAGAGCAAAGGATTGTTACAAAGGATATGCCTGGCTTTTTCGACTAAATCAAACTTATACAAATACTTGAGATAGCAAAAAGTTATGATTTTTCAAAGACGGTGCTCAGAATTTGCACCAACCCATAAAATGTTAGGTTTTTTATAGTCAATGCAAGTTCTCTACAAGCTAGCGCATAGCTTACTTTCCTATGTACTTGAATGGCGCAAACTTTGCTCATTGTATAGCCAATGATCGTTTAAATGGTGTGAAACCCGAACTTTATGGGAGTTTTCTGCGAAAAAAAAATATTGCCAAACAATCGAAAGTGACCACATGTTTCTGCATTCTAGCATTGAACATCTAGCCTCTGAGAATGTTATAGCACAAAACTTTGCATTCATATCACATGTTTTTTGCGACAAATTCGGGCGTTTCTCGTGATTGGAAGCAAGTAGAGTAAAGGAAAAATTTCATATTTTAGGGCCGCATGCACTAACATTTCTGCTGGGGAGGGGATCGCAGCTTCAGAAGAAAGCTTCATATCCTGAAGCTCCGGATATCTGGATTTCACGCTGTCTACCTGTCCGCAAGTGCTCCCACCATCCTTCCCTATGAACATATTGAGCAGAATCGAGAAGCTGTACAAGCCGCATTTCCCAGCTTTTTGTAGGATCCCCTGGTGATCCCTGGGGGACGAACATCTATTCTTCAAAGTCATTTTTCTTTCTCCGAAGTTAACGAAAACCTTCCAAAGTTATACTGAACATCTAAAACAACAGTGCTAAGCATGTTGCTGATGAGAACAAATGAATTTTTGAAAAAGCGAATTTTTCGGTATACCCCGAATTTCGACCTGTGGATCATCGAAAATTTCATGACTTCAAAACATCATTTGTTCTTATCAGCAACATGATTAGCACTGTTGGGTTAGATAATCTGCACAACTTTGGAAGTTTTTCGTTAACTTCGGAGAAAGAAAAATGACTTTAAAGAAAAGCGCCGGGGATCATCAGGAATCATACAAAAGCTGGAAAATGCGGTTTGTACAGCTTCTCGCTCCTGTTCAACATGTTCATAGTGAAGGATAGTAGGAATACTTACGGATAGGTACACAACGTGAAATCCAAGTATCTGGAGTTTCGAAATATGAAGCTTTCTTTTAAGCTGCGATCCCCTCCCTGCGGCCATGTTAGTGCATGCGGCCCTTAGTCTCTTATCTTTGGGGGCATGGAACACCCGTTTGAACCAAGACGTTCGGAGACGAAAGCATATATAAGAAATTAGACAAACTTGCTTTTGGATAAAATAAAAAGACGGTTCTACTTCAAGAAGTTGTTTGAAAAGAAAGTAAGAAAATATACATTGACTATGAACCAACCTAATATATACTCAGATTTGCCCGCACAATCTTTTACTAGATAATTATCACGACAGATATCTCTCACTGGCTCACGAAGTAGTCAGATGACTGCTCCTGGCAGCTTCCTTTTTGTACAGCCTAGTAGTTAGTGTTTAATATGCCGATAGTACCTTTTGAGGAAATGACCATTACGCGCAAATTTTGTTATTTGACAATGAATATTCTAAGGTTTTTTGTAGAATAAGAGGTGCTGTTTAGAAGTACGGGTATCCTCAAATCGACGCTTCGAAAGTACAGATCACGACGTTTCATCGGGACGGCGTGCGAACACATATGGCTAAAAAAAGCATGGTAAGTACTTTGACTCAATGATTTGTTTGGATTGGTGGATTTGAACTGTTTCTGCTTTGAATTGCCCGGGAGTGGAGCGCAGCAATAACTCTTTACAATTAAATCGGGCGGGATGCGGAAACTTGAGAACCCAAGCCTGATTTAACTCGACTCGGGGAACGCCTGCAGGATACAGCCATGCTCACAGTCTCCGATGCTTTTTAAGACATGGCGACAATCTAAGCCCAGTCCCCTTGACCTATTTTGGACCTCGCCGAGGAATGCTAAAACTTGAACTTGAAATCACGGAAACTGTCTCTTATCCAAAAACCTTAAGAATGATTGTATGGAGGTGAAAATAGGCCCAAACGAAAGAAGAAGACTGCGCCATCCTTACAAATTTATCAGCTGCTTGAAACTGACTGAACACAACATTCTTGCTGTTCAAAACTATTTGAGAGTTGAGTCTGGACAAAACACTAGGGAATTTTTCAAGAGATTGTTGAACTGTCAGAAGTAGTTTATTTGAGTGCTAAACTCGGGCAGAAGACTAGAAATTCATTCAAAAAATGACAGTTTAAAAACTTCTCAAAAGTAATAATCTATTTGTGTGCCGATTTTCGGGCGAAAAACTAAAGAATCATTCAAGAATGGCAGTTCAAAAACTTCTCAGACATAATGTTCAGTGTTGAAATTTGGAGAAAAGACATTCAAGAAATGACATTCAATAGTAACAATTCGCAGAGTTGCTTGGAAATAAAAACTCGAAAATTGGGCCATGCTTTTGAAAAAATGATGTTGATTTTGTTAGATTAAAAGTGCCTCTGCCTCTCTCACCCTTTCATATGATTTTTTCCGATAAGCTTCATGGCTGAGTCAGAGTATGTGCGAATTTACTGAATTTTTTGGACGCATTTTACAGAAATGCAGAATGGGTGATTATAATATTTCGAGCTGTAAACAGCCGCTGGAATGTCTGAAGGATGTGCTGACTTTAAACTGAGTTTGATAGACATTTGGGCCCATCGATTGACTCTCGAGAATCCCTTACACATCCATTAGCATTGTTTCTTTATTAATGTTTGGCATATTCAAAATATAACTTCAATTTTTTACGACTATAAACTTCAGATAGAAGCTACACACTCAAATACTCAGAGCTGCGGCACTGCTAAAGATGTTTATAGTAGAAATAAGTAAAATCTCAGAGTATCGAAATCTTCGGGAACCCCGGCTCGAAAGCTGTGGATCATCGAAAAATTCACAATCTTCGGATTCTATTTCTTCTGTCGAAAACATGATTTGCAGTGCCATAGTATATCCTCAGTACAATTTTGCGGCGTTTCCATTGACTTCTCAGGAAATAAATGACTTTGAAAATGAGAGGTGATCATTTTGTGTGATCCCCTGGCGATCCCCAGGGGATCACACAAAATCAAAAAACCAATCTTGTATGGAAGTAACCTGGCATCCATTATGCGCAGGTACAAGTGTATGAAAAACCTTATAAGCAAGATAGAGAAAAAAGGAGAAAGACACATAGAGTAGCGAGCATACCCTCGATACATAGAGCCACATACTCTGGTAATCTTCACTTTGAGGGCTATGAGGGAACACAACCTTCATCTGGAAAAAAACAGAAGTCATCCGGAGCGAAGCCCTGGATGTCATTATTCTGACTATAACGGAACGAATGTTAATAAAGCAAATAAAGGAAACAACATCTTTGGGTTATCTCAGCGAAAGAGAATTTGCGTTTTCATGGCCTTTTTTACGTTAAAAAGAAGGATTCTGTGTTTCGCCAGAATTCAGAACGACATTTCTCAGTTAACATCTTATTTGACCAAAATCGAGTTTCAGAAGTGTAGAAAAGTTAATAGAGTTGGATAAAAACAAGAAACTGTGCTTGAATCTTACGTAGAGAGTCGCGTTCGTAAACGCTGGTCTATCTCGTTAATGAGTGATTTTCAAAGCTTGGGACGTTGTCAGTTCTCCTCGTCGTGTCACGACGATCAGAATGGTGTATAATGTTGCGGGGTTTCTTTGAGACCCGCGAAGATCTATGACCAGAGCCAAATGCCCCGTCGGCTCTGGTCTGTCTCCGCTGCTCATCTGCGTCTCCGCGCGCTGCGCGCTACCCCAAAAGCGGGGTGCGGGGATCTGGCTCTAGTACCCTTTTCTTCGCTGTTTCGAACCCAATTTTAACTTGGTCCCTATTATTACGCTGACAACGTCCCAAAACCACATTTTTTGACATGATCGAGAAATCCGACAAAAACCTTGTTTTCAAAAATCTCTTGTTTTTCTCCCAGTTTAAATCTTTCCACGCGGTTTTTTCGTGCATTCTACAGATCTTGCTGCTGTTCATAAAGCAGATAACCACCCAGCCTTTTCTTGATTATGGCGAAATTTCTTGCGAAAAATCGTAAAAAGTGCGTTTTTCTTTGTCTTGCTCTATTTCAGTGCTTTCGCAGCGATTTTTTTCCAGGGGCGACTGTTGCTCAGAACAATAAGCGCGACAATCCAGACAACGTCCCAGGAACATCAATGCGGGGGTAAAATTCAAAGGACGCATCAAAAATCAAAATTGGCTTCGACGTTCTTTTCAGCTCAATAAAAAAGAAACTTTTCGTTTTGAAAACTAATTTTTTTCTTGTTTATCTTCTTCTTGATAACCACTCCTTCCGAAACATTTTTCGAAAAATTACAAAAAGGAATTGGCTCTTTTTTTGCTTTCCCCGTATTGCGAATTGCTGGTCCTGGAGCGAAAACTTGCACTTTGGCCACCAAATGAAAGATTTCAAACCTCATTGCAGCGTTTTTATCCGGTTTTCAGCAGCTTCTTTTGCTTTTTATATCTGTCGTCATTTTCTCTTCTCTGCTCTTTTTCAAACAACCTTTACTTTTTGTGAGGTCAGATGTTCGAACAACCTTCACTTTTGACGCCCTGCTCAGACAATCGCTGAGGGCAGGCGGGCACCGGAAAAATAGATTGCTGATTTCTCGCACCCCGCTCGCGGATTTTTTGCAAAGCAATCAGGACTTTTCGGAAGACCGCTTACTGAGTCAGCGGATTTTTGAGAGACCGCCTGTTGAATTTTTTTTTCGCTCTTATCTTTTGCAGATATATTGCTGAATCTCTGAGGAATCGAGAATTCAGCAAGCGGTCTTCCGAAAAGTCCTGATTGCTTTGCAAAAAATCCGCGAGCGGGGTGCGAGAGATCAGCAATCTATTTTTCCGGTGCCCGCCTGCCCCCGGCGATTGTCTGAGTGTCTCTAGACTATCGAAGGTATGGTAGCAAGATATGACGCATCCGCTCTCACCTCCCCTCCCCAGCGGGGATGTACGTGCATACGGGCCTAAATAAGATGAAGCAATAGAATCAGACTGCAGTAAATCCTTCAATGAAAAAAGCCTCGACTATCATTGCTCATCTATTAGGTTGGTGCAAAAATAATGGCCTTTGCATTCGCTACCAAAGAATATGAATAGAGAAATATACGAATTGAGGTACCATTTGATAGAACGAAGCATGCTCTACAAAGTGGCTACCAAGAATCTACCTAACATTAGGTTACGTAAAGTTTGATGCCAAAATCTGTGAACTTGGCCAGCCCAAAAAACCGGATTTTCGCTCGTAGAAGTCCTACAAGCCTCCCAGTTGATCCTCACATAAAAAAATACATAGTAGCGTTCATTTATGCACTTGCTGTAATTGTTTGTCACTTAGAATTGGAGGAAAAAGCGAAAATCGACAGTTTGCAGATTCCGCCTTTAACTCCGCCCCTTTCCCCAATTCGGATAATGTGTACCACAAAGCCTCCGAAGCATGGCTGTGAATTTTCAGCCTGGTATTTATACTGATAATTGAGAAAAGTCGCTTTTAGCTTCAATAACCCATGGTCTACGGCCACTTTTTTGCATCAACCTCATAAAAACCCTTTTTTCAATTAAAAATAATTTGCAAATCTTTTTGGAAAATCTTCTAAATCAAGTCTTAATGGAAGAAAAGTAAACTTTTGTTCGAGAAGAGAATTGAACTCAAATCGACATTGATTCTCGAATGAAGTTCTGAGTATGTACATTTAGTTTCAGTTATAGTAAGTTTCATATTTGATGGTAAAATAGAGAAAAAACAATTTTACATATGTATGTTTTCGTTTCGTCCCTTTCCTTAGATGGAGTTTTGAGATCTAGACCCTCTTCGGGACTCTTTGTTAAGGACAGGGTCTAACAAGGAGAGGATACTTAGTCGAAAGCACTAATCCAGATGAGACACATATCGTCTTAAAGCGCTCAAAACGCTGAGTCCAAATCAGTGGTATACAGCAGCGGAGCGGTTTTGTAGAAGGAGTTATGAGGGAGATTACTTGGAACATGTTACTTGGAGTTTCTCCGAGGGTTGATATAATAGCTTAATAAAATTGTGAGACTTGCCCATCTCAAAAAGCATAGGTAGCAAGTTTTGGTTATTTTCCAAAAGCTCATTGAATGCGCCGCAACGGTTTCATTACTGTTGGATAGAGAATAAAATGCTGCATTGAATGCTGCCAGAATCTCTTAAAAATCTTTGTTCCATCAAATGTGGCGTCCGTTTGAAAAAAGCGATATTACTTTTGGAACGACCTAATATACTATATTAGGTTGTCCCAAAAGTTCCGTCGTTTCATTTTTGAAAATTTGTAACTTTGCGCTATCTCAACGTATTTGCATTCTTTTAATTTTATTTGAAAGCATCAGTCTTTCGCTTTTGCATGCTTCCCTTTTTAGCTTCCAATACCCACTGACTGCATAGATAAAAGTGGAAAATTAAGACCATTTAAGTTTTGACCATTTTAAGTTAGGTCGCCAAAATTTCGTAACGCTGCGGAAAAGTCTGAAAACGTGAGTGCACAGGTTTTTTGACCTGCTCTTTGCAACAGTGAAAAGTTTGTGTTGTTTGGACGTCTCTGTGAACAGTTACGAATTCCGACTTTACTACAGAAAATACCAAAATTAATTTATTTGTCGCTTTTCTCAA